TTTGAATGAATTCAGTATCTAGAGCATGCGAGGTATCTTCAATATGGTTCACCTTGGCTTTTGGTGAGCTTCTGTATTCATAAGCAATATATTTTTCCTTCCTATAGTTGTAGCAAGTAATGGTTCTTCTTTCAGCATTGTTATTTTTTCTAAGATGTTGGGTGTGGTTATTGTGATTGTGGCTATGTCATCAAGTTTAAGCTTAATCCAATTCAGCAGGACAGTTCTCTCTATAGCAGTTGTTGTTGACTGGTGATCTTCTTGCAGTGTTTCTTCCATTGCAGACTTCCCAACTTCAAACATAGTAGTGTTATACCTGATTGCTAATTTCTATGTATTATACAATATTTTGGGAGCTTGATAATTTACTTCCATGCGTGTTATAGGCTTTAGGTCATCAATAAAATAGGCAACTTGATCCAATTATCCCATAGTGTCAATTTGGCTTACTATATTTCTAAACTGGGTAAAGTACTTTTGGACAGTTCCTGTTTGGCGCAGGTATTTTAACTGTGTACACAAATACTGCTAATAGTGAGGAGGCTGAAAAGTATTCTTGAGTTCCTTCTTGAATTCCTTCCAGGAGAAAAAGAGAGGTAAAGTGGAATACTTGATCTTGTTAACAAACCAGTATAGAGCAGTATCTTCAAATCCTATAGTGATATAGTGAATCATTTGTTTTTCCTCAGTAATTCCTTGAGCTCTCAAGATATTCTTTGTTTAATGCAATCAAATCTTAACATTTTCTCCTAGTTCTTCTTTGATAACAGGAATTTTCAATGTAATTTTTGATGTGATAGTTGTAGAGGAGGAGAAACCAACTGTGACAGTCTTCTCTTTGCCCTTGTCTTCCTTTATTCCCTTGATAATAGTGGCCATGGTGTTGTTAAACTGTTGCATAAAGTATATGAATTGTTCGATATTTATTTTGACAAAGTTTCAGATGTATATATGTATGGTAAGGAGGGAAATATCTTGTTAATCTGCTACTACCAAGTTGTAAAAGACTTGAAATAAATGTATCAAAGTCAGTGAATTCTTAGGTAATAAGTTTAATATGCAAAAGAGTTATCTTTATTAAGATCGATAAGTAGCTTTTTTATATATTTTAAGGTAGTGCAAAATAAATATAAAATATATAGAACTAAAAATACATAAATCATATGGATTATAATTTGGACAACTTATATAATATATAACTAATCATAAATAGAAAATAAAAGAAAAGAATAAAAATAAAAAGAAATAATTAATGCCTTGTTCACCATAGTCTAATAGTCAATTACTATTAATGACAAACAAGTCCAGATAATATATGTAGTAGAATTGTAATGTCACCTCAGTATTATGATATTGGCTTGGCAATTTTGACAATCTTAGCAGTCTTGACAAAAATGGAATGGTATACTTAGATTGTTACATCACTTATGTTTCTTTTTGAGGGTCACTCTTTATTTAAATAGAAACAAAAATCAGGAAATATTATAAATCAATAATTTGAATAATGCAAAACAATTGTATGTAGTTTTTTTATAGTTATTAATTTAAAAATTTTAATGTTTCCTAGTGAGGGACATTTGACTTGTGTTTTGTCTCCTCCTTTAGGGACCCATCTTTAACGGGAGGTAACCAATGGAAGCTTGTTTATATTCTTTTACTAATGTGAATTCTATTTGTCCAATTATAGTATAAGAAACTTTGTGCTAATTAAAATTCAAGATCATTAAAAATGAGTATTATGAAAAATTAACAAATAATAAGAGAATGAAGAAGTTGTCTCCTATCATTAGACACACTTCTGTGATGTTTCTCTATAATGTGAGATGATGACATATTAGTTTTTCTTTCTTTTAAAACTTTCTTGCTATTGGTAGGAAAGATTTTTTTTAACCTTTATAGTCATTAGAGACCAAGTTTTTGTTTGAAGAGGATAGTGTCCTGTATCCACCCACTCCTTTAATTGGGTTAATCTATAAATCAAGTACCATGAAGTCAATAAAATATGAGCAACAAGTTTATAGGTGATGAAAAAGCTACTATTTGTTCAATCTGAGGTCTTTCTCTTCTATCATCCTGGTTAGGCAAAGTTCAAGACCAAAGTCTTCTTTTTATTCCAGTCAGATAATAAGATTGAATGGTCTCTAGTTCATACTAAGCCTTAACCCTTTGGTTACAGTTGAGAATATATTTTTCCAAAAGTTGTTGAAGAATATCACAATTAATGAGAATTCCCACTACTGCTAAGACCTTCCCACCATTACAAGGCAAAAAAATTATTGGGGAATCTGGTCTTTTGGATAATGAAAGATATATACCAGTAAAATTCTTTTAATTAGGCATGGCTGCTGGAAGGTATCACACTGAAACAACATAATCTAGTCCTTACTAGGTCACATAAGAACCTGGAGTTCATCATAAGTCATCTCTTTACCACAGGTGGATAAAAAATCATTTTTCAAAAAAGATTAGAACCAAGTGTATCCTGGAAGTAAAGGCTTCCACTAGATAATAAGTCTCCTCAGATAGTACACAAGAAGGAAATCCAAATTAAGAATAGATAAGTTCCTCAGATGGTCAAGAAAAGAAAGAATATCCTAATTGGGTATTTCTTATTGAGAAGAGATCTTGAGAAGCAGGTCTTTGGAGAAAGTTGAAAATATTTTTTTTAATTTTTACTTTTTCATTTTCTTGTTGTCTACTTAGACATTTTTAAATATTCCCCTTTCATTTTTTCAACTCATCTTTTTGTAGTTTCCTATATTCCAACAGTTTGATTAGACATATGGCAGTAACAATCTGCTGGCAATGATGCAATAGACTAGGAAAGTCTTTATTTAAAGATACTGTGAACAAAATATTGTCTCCAAGACCAAACTTAGAGACTTTTATGTTTATGATAAGTTAGTTAGATTAGGGTAATAGTTTAGCTGTAGTTTTTTTTTTTTTTTTTTTTGCCCTCTGTCAAGCTAGTTATGTATGCTTTATTAAACATTTGTAAGCTGTACATATAATATGAAACACTAAAGCTAATTCTTTAACTAACTCACTCGTCTAGGTTATTTTACCCTTCTAAGTGCAACTTCAGGAGTAATTTATC